TTCCGTGAGAGGGCGACAGGAGGGGACAGACAGACAGACAGACATACACATACACATAATGTTCAACATCAAAATGTTATAAAAAACATTGTAGTATAGTATGTCATCAAAATGACATTAAAAGCGTCATAGTATAGTATGTCATCAAATGTCATTAACAGCGTCATAGTATAGTATGTCATCAAATGTCATTAAAAACGTCATAGTAGGCCTATAGTACTAGTGCAGTGGCCGTAGTAAGCATATATTTTGGTAAGGATGCGTCAGTTGAAAGATGATAGGCTACATGTGTCTGTGATTGATATGGATACACATTGAGGTGTATATGTTTAATCAGTTGTTGTTTATGAAATTGTTGTAATGTCTTGCATTTGGCTTTTAGCAATGACACTGTAGGGAGTTGAACCCCATTTCACTAATGTGAAAGTACCACTACCAGTGTCTTTTTGCTTTTTCCTCCTCTGCTGGTGAGGAGAACGTCATGCCACGCAAAATTCCATGAGAGGGTGACAGGAAGGGACAGACAGACAGACAGACAGACATACACATACACATAATGTTCAACATCAAAATGTTATAAAAAACATTGTAGTATAGTATGTCATCAAAATGTCATTAAAAGTGTCATAGTATAGTATGTCATCAAAATGTCATTAAAAACATCATAGTATAGTATGTCATCAAAATGACATTAAAAACGTCATAGTATAGTGTGTCATCAAAATGACATTAAAAACGTCATAGTATAGTATGTCATCAAAATGTCATTAAAAACGTCATAGTATAGTATGTCATCAAAATGACATTAAAAACGTCATAGTAGGCCTATAGTACTAGTGCAGTGGCCGTAGTAAGCATATATTTTGGTAAGGATGCGTCAGTTGAAAGATGAAAGGCTACATGTGTCTGTGATTGATATGGATACAGATTGAGGTGTATATGTTTAATCAGTTGCTGTTTATGAAATTGTTGTAATGTCTTGCGTTTGGCTTTTAGCAATGACACTGTAGAGAGTTGAACCCCATTTCACTAATGTGAAAGTACCACTACCAGTGTCTTTTTGCTTTTTCCTCCTCTGCTGGTGAGGAGAACATCATGCCACGCAAAATTCCGTGAGAGGGCGACAGGAGGGGACAGACAGACAGACAGACATACACATACACATAATGTTCAACATCAAAATGTTATAAAAAACATTGTAGTATAGTATGTCATCAAAATGTCATTAAAAGTGTCATAGTATAGTATGTCATCAAAATGTTATTAAAAACGTCATAGTATAGTATGTCATCAAAATGACATTAAAAACGTCATAGTATAGTATGTCATCAAAATGTCATTAAAAACGTCATAGTATAGTATGTCATCAAAATGTCATTAAAAACGTCATAGTAGGCCTATAGTACTAGTGCAGTGGCCGTAGTAAGCATATATTTTGGTAAGGATGCGTCAGTTGAAAGATGAAAGGCTACATGTGTCTGTGATTGATATGGATACACATTGAGGTGTATATGTTTAATCAGTTGTTGTTTATGAAATTGTTGTAATGTCTTGCGTTTGGCTTTTAGCAATGACACTGTAGAGAGTTGAACCCCATTTCACTAATGTGAAAGTACCACTACCAGTGTCTTTTTGCTTTTTCCTCCTCTGCTGGTGAGGAGAACGTCATGCCACGCAAAATTCCGTGAGAGGGCGACAGGAGGGGACAGACAGACAGACAGACAGACAGACAGACAGACATACACATACACATACACACACACATACACATACACATACACATACACATACAGTTGAGGGTGTTATCTCAAATCCACTTCTCCACCATGCCCCTCCCCCATAAATAGACATTATTTCAGCAGACATTCTGACTTATCACAAGTGAGAATGTCTTGTAGCCAAGGGTCTACTTATGGAGGGGGGCAGCGAGTGTTATTTCAAATCCACTTCTCCACCATGCCCCTCCCCCCATAAATAGACATTATTTCAGCGGACATTCTGACTTATCACAAGTGAGAATGTCTTGTAGCCAAGGGTCTACTTATGGAGGGGGGGTGGGGTAATGGAGGTTCAGTTTTTGGGCCTCTTGTTTTTCTTCCGCTTCTCAGGTTGTTGTTTGTTGGATCCTTCAGGCTCCTCTTTGTTTGGCTCGTCCTCTCGTCTTTTCTTTGTTGCACAACAATCGTCTTCTCTCTTATCGTTGAGGGACAGGTTGTTGAACATGGATGTCAGCTCCTCCATCTGTGTCTGGAAAGAAGTCTGATCGGCCAGGGCATTTTGTTGGAGGATTTTCTCTTCTTTCTTCCTTTTCTGCCCCTTGGTCTCGTTGACCTGGACTGCCATGTTATTTGCATTGAGAGTCTGAGGGTCAGCACATTTTTTGACCTTCTCTAGCTCTCTATTGGTCTTCTTTTCCCTGTTTATGTACTTCTTTTTCAGGGATATTTGCTTAGCCAGTTGTTGTTTGGTGTCCTCTAACTCCTGGCTAATTTGGTTTTTCTCAATGAAAAACTCCTGTCTCTGTTTATCCAACAGGTTGTGAAGTTCTTTGACCTGATTGCGAAGTTGATGCCACTCCTTTAATGCAGCATCCAGCGGTCGAACTCTGGGGTCCTGTCTGACGGTCCTCCTGTTTCTTCTGAAGATTCTGTCGCGCAGCATCTTGCAAAGATGTCTTCTCACAGCTGTCACTCGTTAAAAGGTTTTAAGTGTCCTCACAGAGATTTCACCCACACATTGCTTATGTTAAGGGGTCCTACTTACAAACTCTCTTTTCCTTGCACTGTGATGTCACAAAGGCAAAAGACACATTCCGTGTCAGTGTTCTGATGATGTCATTGTTTAGAATTCCAGGATTCCATTCATATTTTTTAAATTACAGTGTTCTTTATTGACATGAACATTACCATTCACTATTGACATGATAAACAAATAAATAAATAAATTCATTATTTATTATAAATGAACACATGAATAATTGAATAATTAAATAATTAAATATATGATGCTTTACCATTCAGGGCATGCACTGTTTTTTCCCTGCTACACTGTGATGATGTGAAAAAAAATCACAGGACAAAAACAGCATAGAGACATAAAGATATAATTAATTATAGCTGTGTGTGTCTTATAGAGGACAACTCAGGCCTATGTTCTTAACTTATAAAAGCCATGAAGTGCAATGTTTTCTGCAACCAACACGAAGCTATCGTTAAACAAGTATTTCAAACACATCAAGATCAGTTGAAGAACAATTCAAGGTCCACTTAGTCGTTTGTTGAGGAGCTTCAAAGATTTGAAGATTAATTAAATTTTTCAGATCAACTGAAGGATTAGTTGATCCTTTATGGGTTTAGAAACTTCTTAACTGGTTCTTCATCGAAAGAAACCGTTTAAAAACCCAGTAGTTATCAGAAATATTTTCTACACAAAGCTCAGAGCAAGTTGATGGTTTAGAGATACATTGTTTTCACATGACAGCAATGACAACATGTAATATTTTATATTGTTTTAACAGTTCACTTTATAATTGCATTTGTGTGCACAATATGGCTTTGGCCATCACAACCCACCAATGACCCATATTTGTCTTGTGGGTAATAAAGAATTCTCTAAATAGGTTTCATGCCACTTCCTCTATGATCTATCCACAATCAGCAAAGTTTGCTCATTCCTCTTTATACTGACACATATCTGTGAAAGTTTTCCAAATGTCATGGCCTCGTTGGTGTCCAATCTCCAGGAAAATGAACAAAATACCAGGCACTGCCAGAGCTCATTTGATGACTGCCAGAATTAATCTTTCAATTTTTGCCGCATTGATTTTCTTTTCCGACGACCTATATAAATGTCTGTTGGCGGCAGCTGCGTCTCACGTGTCTGACTCCGCGGCTGTTTTTGTGACCTGCGCGGCTCTGCTGCATTCACTGCTCTTTATCACTCTAATCCCTCATTTCAGCAGGCATTTTGTGATGTATTCAGCGTCCACAATGACCACAGATAACTGAAACGAGAGGAATAAATGCTATCATCCCCCCCTCTCAGTTTACTATCGGTGATAATTGATTAAACCCTCCTCCCAAAATGGAAATGAGGCTGGGACTTGCCAAGTTCAGGTGAGTCAGATCCAAGAGGGAACTTATTCCCTAAAGACCTGAGAGGACAGAGGGAGTGCTGGCATGTTTTGGTGTGCACGTCATGACAATAATAACATGTCCTGCATTTGTGTGGTTTCGTGCGTTTGACAAAACATTGACGGAGACGCCCAGCCTCCAACTTGACCCTGATCATAGCTTTCTCTTCCCAGGTGGCTCACCTGACAAGATCGGGTTTCCAGCTGTCCTTAAATTATGTTTCTCTTGGTTAAACATCAACATTAATGTCATTTCAGATGATGCTTTAAAATATATGGGAATTTCTACTTTTGGAACATAAATATTCCAACATAGATCTTGTGCTAATTACACCCCAAAAATAAGAAATTCACAAGGCTTAAATATGATAAATGTCAGTCATATTGTCAGTCTGACTCACATATTTGTCAATAACAACATGCCACAAAATTATGAGCATCAAATCTCATCATATAAAAAGTCTTTTGTGCTTATTTTTCACATTAAGGGTCACATTAAACCACCAAACCCCCCAGAAGACAACAGGTCCTCTTCCCTCTATTATGAGTGAGGCCCTAGTTGAATAGACACCATACATACTCTTACTTCATTATGTTTCATATCAGTGAGCAATGGGGGCTGCATTTCGCACACAAAGTCACAAAGCCTTATGGACATTGTTTAAGCATGTTACTTTGAAGGGGGCTGTGTTGGGTTTCATCATTTGCCTCCAGGAGAGGACCTCAGCCACAAAAAGTGGATTGTTTACACATACTGAAGCAGCCCCACCAAAGTGCCATTGACCCTGTTTCCATCCAATCCTACACCAGTGTTGTGACCACACGACGGTCACGTTCACCATATATAAAACAGCCCGCTGCTCTCTTATCCTAAACCCACAAAGGAGACTGGGGAGGTAAGATCCAGGCTAAGAGGCAAATAGAGTTTGCTTGATTGACAGCTCTGGATTCATCATCTAAATTTGGACCTTTATTGTTAAAATGGCCTCGCTGGATTTCTTCTGCATTGTGCTGGATTTATTAGGATTCTCCATGTTTGATATCTGTGTGTTTGCCTCAGCTTTTTCACAGAGGGCAGAGCAGTGAGATGGCTTTAATCAGCTTCCTCATCCTGACCTCCTTGTGTATTGCGGGCCGAGAGGCCCTCAGCCTATCTGACTGCGGAGCATTTGCCAGACGACCAGGTAAGATGAGCGTGACCTTCAGTCTCACTTATTTGTTTTGGAATGAAGGGGTCATATTGATTTTAGTTCAGATGTAGACCTTTAGGGAAGCCATATTGATTTCAGTTTACTCCAGATATTTAATTAGCACATCTGAAGGAGTGTTAATTGCACTGGTAAATATGTGTTTACAGAAGAAAAGTAGATGTTGAAACAGGCATTATGACCTTAACATTTATAATTTTATTAACTGTGGCTCTGTTTTGCAACTTTCACGATGTGATTGTCCATACATGTGCAATAATTTACAAAAACATCTGAATTAACACTAGTTTCTATGACAATTGCATCCAAATCTTTAATTAACAATGCCATCTTATCACCATCAGAATACACTGATATTGCTGTGGTGTGTGGTACATCTGCCATTGACCTGGCGATTCAAATCTGCCCGGCCATCTACACTGGTTACAACGCGAGCTTACTGATCCTCAACCACATCCGGGACAATGTTGACTGTCAGGGGACCCTGGACACCTCGGTGGTACCTCCTGTGGTGAGATTCAGCTTCCCCATCACGGAGGGAAATGCCTGTGGGAGCACCTTCTTGGTGAGTATTGCATCAATGAAGTGTCCTGATTTAAAGTCATGAGGGATGGTGATTGTGGGACTTGTTAACCTTTAGCTGAGGAGAGTTCGAGCATATTAAGGAAACTGAAAGAGTTTCCAACTCCTGTGTTCTGAGGCCAGGTAGGAAGAAGTGAAAAAGAGAATTTCAGTCTGCTTTTGAATTAATATAAAACAGAGTCATGCAATCTCACCAGCCTTTTCTGAGGAGACTGAAAGAGTTGTTCCACTTTTTCTCTGTGATTGCATCACCGCTGCCTGCTGTGCCGGAGACATTTATTTTTAAACATTTCTTAAATAATCGTACACCCACTAAATTATTCCTCAGACCACGAGCGCGCCGGGGACGGGAATATTCTCTGACTTCTCCAACATCCAGACGGTCAACGTCAGCGGTGTGATCCGATCCTTCGACCCCACCATTGGGATGATCACCTACAATGCCGAACTCAAGTATTACTACTCTTGTGCTTACCCACTGGAGTATCTCATCAACAACACCCAGGTGGATGTGTAAGTGTCAGTGAAAACTACATTAACACCTCTAACTTTTCACTTGCGTGCCAAGTGTGATCTCATCATTTGCCTCCTTGCAGGTCGTCCTCCTCCATTGCTTTGAAGGACAACAATGGGAGCTTCATCAGTACCCTCAGCATGAAACTGTACCAGGTGCCTCCTTACACCTTCCCCACATACTACGCATGCCCTCATTTCTACCTGGCACCAACATCAAGTGATAAATCTTATGCAAGCGCTTATATAATATTTCCTTCTCTTCCCTTGCCAGGATGTAAATTACACCACGCCCCTGGTCTTTCCACAACTGGGCATCGAACTAAGAAAAAATATCTTTGTGGAGGTGTCTGCATCCAACCTGACCTCACAGTAAGACGCATTTAAATTATAGGGCCTACAACACCTGCATCCTTCTCTTTGTCTGGTTCAGACCTGGACCTGTATCTATTAAACTTCTAGGTATTACACTCAATTATTTAAGTATGATACATACATTTGAGATACTTTTCACATCTTTACACTTCTACTCCACCACTTTTCATTGAGAAATATTTCACTTTGCACTAACCTACATTAAGGATGAGCAAGAACACCATTATCTATCTGTGTCTGTTCAACCAACTAAAATATCTGTTTCCATATCTGTACTCAGAATAGGGACGAAACCAGAAGTGGGTGGAGCTTTAACTGGAATATGTTGGACATACGTTGAAGTGGGTGTGGCTTAAAAGGGAATAGGTCGGACATATGGTTTTATTAAGCCTGAAATTCATATGGGTTCATCAGAATTTGCTATAGGTATTATTCATTAGCAGAGCAATCTCAGGATTAAGCTTCAGATAATTTTAAAAATCACAAGTTTGGATACTGAGACATTTTACCCAAATAATACTTGTACTCATATAAATTATCTGTGCAGGATTCATCTGAGTTTTCTGCTCAACCCTGACCTACATTTATTTGACAATTAGTTACTTTTTTAAGATTTAAGATTTGAGTGTTTAAAAAGTATTATTTTGAGAACCAGATTTTCAATTTTTGGTTTCAGATTTATCCTATTTACCCCTTTATCTGCAATATTTTTCTTTATCAAAAACTCCTTATATTATATTTAGTGATATTTTGTCCCATGAAATGTGATTTTAAAGAAATACATCAGATATTTATAATGGGCTTCTAAATGTTAATTAATTCCAAAACATGTCTCAGTAGGTGTTTCTGTCTCCGTACTGCAGTCATCTGAGATCTACTCTTAACCAACTTACATGTAAACATATGTTTTAGTTGTAAGAACAGCTTTTATTCTTAAAACAATACATCACCCACAAAATGATCATTTGTATATCAACTGCTGACCTCATGTTAGTTCTAATTTGTGTTGAAAACTTGAAAACTGTTTTTCTCACATGCCTCCATGGTGAACGGAGAATCCAAAAAGGGCGAACATTCTTAATGAATTGAAGTTAACAGGAACCACATTTAATAACAGCAAAACTATATTTGTTGTTTGTAAACTGGTGTTTTAATATAGTTTTGCTGTTGTTTTGTTATTTTAATTCATGAAGAGTGTTCGCCTTTTTTGGATTTTCCATGCACTGTGGATGCACGCAAGAAAAACAAAGTTTTCTTCAAGAATTTAAGGTAACACACGAAGAGTAATTGCTATACAAATGGTCAGTTTGTGGGTGAAGTAATCCTTTACTATGTTTGGAAGTTGGAGTAAAAGTAAAGAATGTTTGGTAGTTGGCAGTTGGAAAAATAAAGTCCTGGATGTCAGTCATAGTTGCGTCACTGCATGCTTGGAGACCTGAGTGAATGTCTAGGATAAAAGACGTTTCTGTCTCTCCTACTCTCCCACCACACGACTGTATCTTGATAGATTGTAAAAATGAGGATTCCACCTGTGACCTGGAGTCTCTGACTCGGTGCTGGGGACCTCATTCTTTCTCCACAGGTACTTTGTTCTTCTGGACCGGTGCTACGCCTCTGTGGGTCCACAGCCTACCAACTCCACCTTCTTTAATCTGTTTGTCTCGTAAGTCACAAAAACTCTATTACTCTACTTTTTGTAACTTGTGAATTTCTTCCAGTCTTTCAAGGCTTTTTAATTGGATCTATCTCCCGGTCCAGCAGTCCAGATTTAAATCTAAACTTTTACACGTATCTAGCCTACAGGGTTTCCTGTCTTCCACGCAATAAGCGCACCTCAGCTACTTCTAAATCCAAAGGGAGCCCTAGTCTTGATTTTGTCTCCCTGCTTTTTTTATCATTAATACATTGCCTGTATGTATCCGTGTGATGTGCAAATGGGGCACTTGTGAGGTTCGCCTTTTATTGAAAGGTGCTCCATAGATCGGCTCACCACCATGCTGGAGAACGGGGATAGCCAAAAGGCCCGCTTCTACTTCCCAGCGTTCCGCTTCATCGAGCAGCAGAATGAGACCATCTCCACCTACTATCTGCACTGCATCACCCGGCTCTGCGAGCGCAGCACCTGCAGCACCTTCAAGGTGGGAAGGCACTGCATGCATTTCAAGCAGAAATCTCCAATTTTAGCCGGATCACAAGCTCATGTCTCTATCTCTGATTCGATCCACAGCAGTGCAACAGGAAGAAGAGGAGTGTGGAGTCCACAGTTGTCCAGGAGAGCGTCACTGAGCCGTCTGTGCTCACAGTGGCTATAAAGGCCAAGACAGAGAACGGTATGATCCCTATGTGTCTTTCTTTTATACTGTAATGACTGCTCCCAGTAGATGCTATTAAGAGAACTTAAGAGCAGAGCAGAACAAGCAGACATCACTCAGGTGGTAATATGATTAAAGGAATAGTTTGACATTTCAGGAAATAGGCTCACTTGCTTTCTTGCTAAGAGTTAGACGAGAAAATCGATCATGTCTATGTGCTTAATGTGAAGCTACATCCTGCAGCCAGTTAGCTTACCAAACTAGAAAACTGACAAATAATACTGAATAAAATACAGACAAGGGTAAAAAGGAAAGATGTAGAAACTACAACACGGACTCCTGTAGTGTCTGTAAAACAATTTGTTTTGGGCATGTAGCAATTTTTTCTCTGCTGCTTTTGCTCTCTCTCTCTCTCTTTGTAATTTAATTTATTTTCCCAGCGTTCTGACAAATATCATAATTCCCTCATTATGAAATACTAACTCTTCCTGTCTTTCTTGCAGCCATTCAATCCAAAGAAGAGGGTGAGTATGTTATTTATTAACTTGGCTGCTATGAGAACAGCCTCTCACAAAGTTTTTGCTAATTACATTCCTCCAGAAATGAAAAGCACTTCTTATCTGCAGCAAGTCATAATGTATTCTGTTGTCTGCTGGAATAGAGCATGCCATAATGATGTCACTCTCATTTGTGCACAGCACTGTCTGGTGGCCAGTCTGACAGCCATGGCGCGTCTGTTGGCCTGGGAATTGCCGTGGCAGTCCTTGTTGTGATAGGGGTGGCAGCCATTTTGATGGCGGCATCGTTTTATCGAAAATTGAAGCGGCTAAGCTAGCAGCGGCCAATGACCTTGGCGAGCAGAGTTCAGCACAGACTAAATGACATAATGAGTTTGACAGGTTGGCATTCACATACTGGTGGAGGTGCATAATGTATGTATGTATGTAGGACTCTGTTGTACTGAATCAGACTATTGATTGGAGCACTTAATGTTTCTTGCCAATCCTTCACAGACCATTAGACGTTATGGAGAGTGAAGTCTGAATATCATGTTGCACTGCATGGTCAAAAAAAGAAAGACAGAAATTAAGTTGTCATCTTAAAGGAGCAGTTCAACATTTTGGTAAATACACTTATTTGCTTTCTCCAGGAAGCTACTGGTCCCTGCCTAGAAATACTCTGCCACATAACTCCATTTAAAACTTGATTTTACACTTTTATTTTTATATGAATTAATTACAAACAAGATTTAGTGTTACGTGGGGAGCTGTAGAGGTGCTAATAGGTGAACTTAGTCACCTTTGGACAGGCTAGCTGTTTCCCCCTGCTCCAAGTCTTTATGCTAAGCTAAGCTCAAGCTACATATTTATAGTGCAGGCAAAATACTGGCATCGACCTTCTCATTGGCAAGAGAGCAAAATAACTGTATTTTCCAAGCCCAGTCGCCAGAACAAAATGTTCACATTTTACATTTCTGCAAACAACAAATATGTTACGTTTGCAACAGACACCTGCCAAGCTGCAGACCACTCGAACCCAACAAACAACAACATCAGTTGTCTTTTGGCGACACTTTGTGCTGTTTCTGGCATTTCCACCTGTGTCTGTGGCACAGAAGCTGGGCGGTTTTAGCGGCACATTGAGGTATGCCCCAGCGACATGTATGGCACCGAACCTGAATATTTTTTCGCTGAACCTGGGTGTTGAAAGTGGCATGTTGAGCCTTTTCCCAGCACAGATTGTGGCACTGAACCTGGGTGATTTCAGCCAAAACAAGATTTTTCTCCCAACCACAACCAAGTGGTTTTTGTGCTTAAACTTAACTGCACCTTCACCACAGTGTTTTTGAGAGCCACTATATAATAACATGAAAATGTAACATATCCATGGTTTATAGAACTATTCAATACAAATATTTTTTTTCTTGCAATTGGGTTGTATTTTCTTTTACAATGTCAAACTGTTCCTTTAACTTACAGCCAGGGTGAAAGCATAAAATGAAGGCAACACATTTTAATTATTACACTTTTGTCTTACATTAAATTTCGTTTCTTGTCAGTGAGTAAATATTCTCTGATTCAAGTGCTCAGACTTCTTGTTTATAAATAAAAATCTACTTCTGTGTATGAATCATGAACATGAATGACACAGACAGTGGGCTGCACAGCTTGTAACTATTTCTAATCGACTTTGGCTCGCTATACAAGCAGCTTTGATCATTTTGTGCAAGCCAGAGCTGACATGTTGCATGTTTTACGTAGAAATGCATGTGTAATTAATTAAATCCTAGATGCAAAATGAGTTCGCCATTACCCTGCATTCTGTTGGTCACACTGACTCTAAATGCATCACTTGAAATGTAACAATATCAAGTGAATGAGCAGGTAAATTGAGGTATTTATTTGATTGTTTGAATGATGCATTCAGGCCTGCATTATACCAGGAGAATTTACTTAGTTGTGATACTTGTAATAATGTATGATCCACTGTGGCAACTATTCTGAGAAAGTTTGTATATTTCCACAAAGTGAATGATTGCTGCTGTGTCTATTTGTGCAATTTTTCCATGTCACGCATGCATTATTATTATTGCTATTAAAGCTTGCAAGATATGAAACAAGAGGTCGTGTCTTCGAACAGCAGACACTCACCTGCAGTCAAGAGTTAAACTCTGCATGCCGTGAACTTCAAACCTATGTCGGAGTGCATTTTGCGGTCCACATGAAACAATTCCTGACATTAAGGAAGGCTTTGCTTATCTTCATTGCAGTCTGGGAGTTTAAAGGAAATGAAAAGGATTAATTCATCAAACTGAGTGTAACTGGCACACACATTTCTATGCTGTTTTATAACTGGAGGAGTGTAGATGGTACAAAAAGTGGGGCTGTTCAATATGAATATCAGTGTATCAGTTTCCTTCAGTTTGAGGTTTGATGTGCTCGGCTTTGAAAGCACAGGGGAGGAAATAAAGTTTGTGCTGAGGTTTGTGGAGGGATGTTTATGTAATCATCCTCCACTAGAGGGTGTCTAATCACCATTTTTTTCATCCCATTTTTTTAAAGGCTTGAGATCAAGTCAACATGTCCACACTGCCGTTAATTAATGCATTTTGAGAAGCACCCTGAAATTACCAAAGGGCTTCTTGTAACTCTCTGAGTCACCCGGGATTAGATTTGTTTTACAAGCTACAACACACTCACTTCTCTATATGTCAGCTCTCTAAAGGGCCGGAAAGTTCACAAGCTGCCTGTACTGTGGTCACAAAGGTAAGATCGATGATTTCCTGAGTGACCCCTGTGATAAGCGAGATGTCTCTCCCTGTACACCATAAAAAGAACAAGCAAAGCAATCAGCTGGCTTGACAAATGATCTAATTACGAGTTCCTGTATTGTTAAGTAGGCCATGACAAACTCCATGACAAGACGACCCACTTTGAAACGTGAGGGGGATAAATCAGCTGAGCTGGAAAGTAGTGCTCCATTAGGACTGCAGTAACTGTATGTTCGGGATAAATCCCCCCCACCCTTTATGAGTTTGCTGTAATTTAATTAAACCAACAGGGATGAACGCATGCTCTGTTGCTCTCTAATGGTGTGGACATTAACCTTTGAATCCAGCTGCTCTGCCCTCTATAATGTTAATAGCCGTGGGGGAGTAGGAGAGAGGTGCAGCTCGAAATTTGTAATGCACTACTTTGCTTTTGTTGCTCTTGACGGTGCACATTATTTTCTGTCTACCATATTTAAAGTCAACTCATGTTGTGATACATCTTTGTCGGCAGCGTTTGTATAGCTGCCATTAAAACTCTGTTTATTTTCATGCCATTATCTGCGGAAAGACGTGAAATATCTGTTTTTTGAGGCCTTACCATTTCGGCCGGTTTTGTCCTCAGCTGAAAGAATAATTGTCCTGTCATTTCCATACTAATTAATATGCATATGGGTCTGTCTGTAGGCTATACATTAGCTTTAGTAGACAGCACAATCATGAAAAATTGATGGACCAGCTGTAATTTAGGGCTGGCACATGAACATGAAGACTCCTGGAATATGATGACTTTGAATAAACAGTGTCAGAGTCTTTCTAATGGGCTGATGTGATGTGCTAATGTGCTAAAAAAAAAAAAAAAAAAAAGGAGTGTGGATTCAAGGCAGGTAAATGTGAAAAACTTAACAAAGGTGGGACTCTGCTGGACTGCTGAGCAGGCGAAGTCACGCTGGAAGGTCCAGCTGTTCCATTAACCTCTTGTAATGAGACAGTGAAGCTGGAAAACTGTGGGCAAAGTGTAATGTCATGTTCACATCATATCAGAGATAGCAGAGGAAGAATACTGCGGCGCTCACAGAAATTTGTCATGGGGGTGGCCAGATGGGGACACTGAAAAGCTTGGGGTGGCTCACCATAACCAAGCCTTAACCAAATTTTAGCCTTTAACCTGTGGGTTTAACAAAGACTGGACAAGGTTTCCCCAGTCAGCAGCTGGTGTTTATGTGATATAATATAAAAGCAGCATATGCCCAAGAGTAGGTACGCATCAGTGCAGTCAGTGCATGTGGAGTGTGTTGGTCCAATTAGTGTTGAGACTGGGACTGAACAAGGGTGAATGAATAACACCAAAACATGTTGAGCCTTCAGGGGGTGTTGTGGGATAAATTCAACAAATTCTGCTGGTGCCCGCTTGACCGTAAAAGTCTTACTAGGTAAGATCATTTCCAATCATTGATCACTGTGAAATGGAAGACAAAAAGAGAAATCAAAGCAAAGGGAGGGAAGTCGGGGTCTATCATGAGGACAGTTTGACTGGCATGTAGCTTGAAGCATAATGTGTGATATCTGAATATGAGAGCTTGAGCCTCTGATTAGCATTAATTTTCAAAAGTAAATCAGTTGCCGTGGAGAAAAACTTGACTGGTATAATTTGAGGGATAGACAGTGAACTCAGAGCCAATCAGATTCCGGTGAGTTCAGCTCAGTCAAATGCCAACAATTAAATTAGTTGTGAGAACACATTCGAACGAGACCAGGAAAAGTTTGAGTCACTATATTTAGAATTAGTACCAGAGTACTTTTTCGAAACGTGTCTCAGTTTGTGGATTTGACAAGCTCCTTGGCTCTAAATGGGTGTAATCAGGAACTCTGATTGCCAAAATGAGCAGGGAAATTTGGCATTGACACAAAGTGCTGATGATTGTTCGTCTAAGCAATAAATTTAGAACTTAGTTAAATTTAATTTTAGTTATCTTTGATGTCCCTGAAATACATGTTACAACTTTTTTTTAATCCAAATATCAACTCTGATTGTGGATGTTCACCCTCTGATTGTAAATGTGTGCTATAAAGTGAGCTATATTATGAAATAAAACATTTAAATGATGAGTCTGTTACTTCTTTTTCTTATTGTAAACATATCCCATGGAAAAAAAATCAATAGATTAATCCTATTAACATGTCTCATCTGTGCAACCACAGCCTGATATAGCTAATTCTTCAGTGCCATAGGCCATAACAACACAAAAACACATCAGTGAGCCACAATGTTGCACTGGCTGACTATTCCTTTCATTATCATGAACATGGGCACAGTGGTTTATTTTGGCTCAATCCTACACACGCCATACTGCTGCTGCCTGTAAATACTTACTATGGCACCAAATGTGTATTAATCCACAGCTAAAATAAGTCCCAGACAAACACACAATTCACTTATGTTTGAGTAAAGTTTGCTAAAAAACGACAGTGAGAATTGTAATCCAAGCTTCTCTTGGTTTAAAGCGTTAAAATTACTCATTGCTGCTGCTTTGCACTGTGCTCATACAGGGGTTACCGCTGACATTTGGACAGAGTCATCACGGACGCAAAGTGCCCACCCTCCAGTCGCCCCCAGATTAAAACTGTTAGCTGTCAGAGTTGTTGCTGTTGTTTAGTGCTGTTTACGGAGTCAGCTCTGTTAGCTGCTAGCTGCCGGCTCAGCCACCTCCATGTTGAGAATCCAGACAACTTTTTTTTTTTTGCATAGAGCCCCTTTGTGGCAGTGTTTCTGTGTATCTGTCTGTCTGCAGCTTATCTCACAAACTACTGGCTCAACTTTAAAAAAAATTATGGTAACAATTTGCATACCTCTTTTTAAGTAGTTCCAACTCTTGCCTTATTGAGTAAATACTATGAGACTTTAACTCAGTTCATACAACCAACATGATTTGCTTTGACCTTGACAAACTTAATTAAGTTAAATCAACTTGATATCTATCCAAAAATTGTTAATATTTAGTGGGGGTTTTTTTTTACATTTAATTCCATCCTACAAAAAAATGTCAAAAACGTTTTTGATTTTGACCAACTTCTTTAAAATAAGTTGTCAACCGACTAAAGCACAATACTGAAACAAACTTATTTTTTCTATGCTAACATTTTTTAATTTCAAGCATTATCAACTAACCCTATGAACCATTTTTTAGAGTTCGGATCACTCAGTGTTGTTATTTTTTTTTTTTGTGCACATTTATGACTGTATGCGTAAGGACCTCTTGTGGTTGTGGTGATTCACAATTGTTGAAACACTTGTTTTATTGACTGTTTTACACCATCATTGACTGTTGACTCCTTACTCATATTAACCGGCTAGTAAAGGGCTGCAAGTATTCTGGAAATTGGCTCATCCGTCTGTTCCAGGCCTCATTTTGGCCTTCGTCATGGCTCAAAAACTGGCATATATAGAAAAGTTTGGTCTCATTTTGGGCATCTGTATATTAACTCCATACCAGACACAATATGACCCACTAAACAACAACAGCTGCCTCCTGTAGATGAAAAAAAAAATGCTAATGAGAGCAATGAGAGTGACCTGTAAAACCAAAAGACGCAAAATGATGAAATGCTGCGTTAAGTTGAGGGAATTGAGTCAAATTCTCTGACTCCATTCACATTACGCAGTCATTTAATCCAGTGAACTTCAAATGCTGCTGTCTACGTCTTCAGCACCTGATTACACAACTCATTGGGTAGAATTACACCTTGGTGCAGGTCTTAGGCATGCTGACTGTGGACAAACAGATTTAAGGTTTTGGTCTTCATGCAAACTTTAGTCTGAAAAAAGACAGCTAAAATGTCAAATCCCTCCGAAAGGGGGAATAATCCTAAACGGCTCCAGTCCTTCTCTGTACCTGCAGTTAAAATCCTCTCAAAGGTTTTTTCAGGACTTCTAGATTATCACAGTATGCATCCCTTATACCTGAGTGAGTACCACAAAAAAAAAAGAAAATCACTGGAATTCCACTAAGAAGAGCTGGCCACCCATGAGAAAAGTATTAAGTGTCGTCTGTGCCCGAGCACTTCAGACCCACTGAAAGCATCTCCAAATTCACTCCGCGAGTTCAGTTTAAAGCTCTCGGAGAGAGAACCCATTATCCATTATTTTCTTCCTCTTAGAATTATGGCAGTTTCTATTCAGGTTCATTTCATTGCCTGCATTTGGATATTCCATTGTTGTGGCTTGAATATGTTGCCTGAAAAGTGAAAAAGGCCAGCATCACCTTGTCCCACTTCATCTTAACTTATTTGTCAAGCTGTCCATCATCCTTTCAACAGGGGGCTACTTGTTAATGATTGATGCGGCACCTCTTAA